TGAGTATTCCGTGTAGTCCATTCGCACACTGGGAATCACGATGTTGGCTTGGCAATAATCTGGGTCGTTCACAGCGTCATCGGAGAACTCCTCAGTTAAGCATCCATCATCATCATAATAATCATCAAGGCATTCCTGGATGCCCATCCCGCAAAACCGACCTTCTTTACGCAATTCTTCGAGCAGCCTCAGATGTTCCTCATACCTTGAAATTTGTTCAGGCGTATTTAGAGGTCGAGTCTTCTTACCAGTGACTCTCCTATAGAAAGCCGACAAATAATGAAATTCATCATTGTTTATAAGACCTTGAAGCTTAGCATCGCTTAAATTGCCGTTGTGCTTCACCGTGAAGTAAAACTGTGACGGTTCAGCATGAATATCAAGTACATCCTCCCGATGAATGTGAAGCGCATGGATAATATCATCACGCAGTGCATTATTCATCTGCCTTCGAACCTCCACGTCATTAAGGATATCCTTCCAATCACCAGCCATCCTGCAAATCAGCTGTGAGTACCCATATTTCGGACACTTTTTGGATATAGTAATTGTCTTAGCTCCTCGACCGCAGGCATTCAGATCTGCAATACGAGACAAGGTTCCCTGATGCTCATGCTCAGCTGCGTCGAGAAGATTCTCCAACTGCGCAAGCTCCTCATCCTCCTCTGGCGTGCGATCGGCTTTGTTGCGCAATTCGCTAATGAGTGCACGAAGCTCCTGAATCTCACCCTCCTCGTGTTCCCTCCGAGATAGCAAATCTTGCATCTCTTCGGCATCGTGCACCAAACGAAACTCAAAGGCTGCATTGCGTAAGGCTTTGGTCTGTTGCTTGTTGAGTCGCACATAGCCCTGGGTGTCCTCGCTGATTATTGGGCCGAAGTTCAGGACCACAGATTCCCTCAGGATGATCTCTTGAACAAAATGATTTTCTGCATCCTGGTAAGTGCGCTTGTAGAACAGACTATCAATCGGAAATGCATCAAGCGGCATGACAGGTTTGGGCCTTGGATCAATCCCCATTATGGCACATTTCTCCTCATAGATTTTCGTTTCAAGGTGGCTTATACCGATACGCATGTCGTTAACCTCACGTAGCAATACACGCTGCTCTTGCTGCTCGGCTAGGCACGCACTGATAATCTCCTCCTGTGACTCGACAGCCTCACAGCAAGCAAGCTGGGCATTGATCCACGCCCTCACCGCACTGTCAAAACCTGCTGCTGAAGTGACATTGGTGCCAGACTCAGGCACCACTGACGCTGACTGCGCACCACCTTTACGTGTGGCTCGGTGATGGCCCTTCTCTTCCGGCAACCCGGTGGTGCATAAACTGACGATCTTACTGCGGCGCGAGTGCGACATAGGCTGTGTGGTGCAATCCCATGAAAGCATCCGTTGCACGAAATCGGGCTGCTTAAGAACTTCCTGCATGGCTTCCAACGACACCGCACGATCCTCGCCTAGTACCAGCATAACTGAGCGAATGAGAGGCAATAGACCCTCCGGGACGTCAGAGCGGGTGCGTAGATCGCGCCATTGGCGAGGCAAAATCTGCCGCATACGTCCCCGAGCATGTTCAAGAGCTTCCAACACCTCTAAGGTAGCGTTCTCCACAGAAGACTGTTTCTGTAAGGTTTGATCACGTGCCTGGAACAACCGCTGAGAGGCCTCATGCTCCAAATTTACAGCCTCCACCAGCTCCTGGCGCAGAGCTTCACGACGGTGCCAAAGATCAAGCTTACCCTCATTTTCGGCACGCTCGCGGGCCTTCTCATCGCTGATAGGATCAGGTAGTACGGTATCGGAATTAATTGGATCATAGTAAGCCACCTTTACAGTATGAGGAGACGGAAGGATTACAACCTTGCCGAGAGAAATAAGTGTTTCGGCATTTGGCTTGATGCGTCCAAAAGCAATATAGTCTCCAAGATGAAGATCGTTCCGGTCCCCGAGCACTAACACATCCCTGTCTTCGTCATGCTCGGTAGAAGCCCTGGACCTGCTGTTTGTCGAATTGCTGCGCCGGACCATGGGTTCTTAATGTAGTAGTTCGAATGTATATAAAAAAAAAAAACTTATTGTAACAATTTTCAAAAGCCTTTCCTTTTTTGTATTGGGATATGAGTCATGAATAAAGCGATAATATGAAATTCGACAAAAGTGTCAAAAAAGGCATAAATAAAGATTTGATGAAAACGGGGTAGCAATAGTAATGGTATATTATGACATTAGAATCATTACCTGTGGGTATATATATATATATATATACATATATCTATGTGTCTCCGTGCACTTGTTTTTGAAAAAAACAAAATTTATCTTTTTGTTTTTTTCGAAAAATATATTAAGTCAGTTTGTAAATGTACAAATAAAACAATTTTCATTGAAAAAGAACATTAAATAGAGGTTTATAGAACCATTCTTTAAATGTTCCTGGCATAAGATCACGAAGTCAATCTATTTAAAAAATTAAGTCATCATTATGTATAAATTACAATACCATATAATTAATTAATTATTATCGTTTCATAATCTTTTATCATTTACCCATCAACGAAATTTTCGAAAAATAGGCACAAAGAGTAAAATATCAACTGAAAAATAATAACTAATCATTAACTTATGATAATAGATATTGGTATCACTTTAAGATATATAATTTTAGGAATATGTCGGCATCCTAAACTATTCCTTTATATCGTCACTAGTTTTTGTAAAAAACACAAGAAGAGAACACGTTTACGGAATGAGGTTGTATGATCAAGGATCTGTATAAAAACCTAAATTCTATAAAATTGAATACACAAATAGTCAATATTATGTATCACATAAAAACCGTAAAGTAAGTTAAAAAATAGAAAGAATACCAAAATAAACAAACAGCATTATACCCGTATGGGACACATGAGTTACCTATGATTGCATAAATTTAAGGCCTAGTTGTCCTATTTATATTTCGGTAGGGTATACTGTATATATTTTATGAGGAAATATCAACCAATGTCTTCAAAAAGTATCTATTAATTACCATTGGTCTTTTTTCTTGTTTATTAATCATACCCTCTAGGTATTCCTTTTCTAAATATATTTTTCATCAGATAAATTAACACAAAGACTCACAGTACTTTTAAGAATCTACAAATGATTCAATGAATTTTAAGAACCCTTTGGCACCCTCACCAGTCAAACAGATTTGTGATAATATTTCAGTATGAAATAATCACCAATCGCCAACATTAGAACGTTTGACTCTTACTCTTGACGATTGAGCATTTGGGGATACCATGCAAAAGAAAAGGCAATGTACCCCACTTGCAGTGCGCAAGAACATAATGTGTTGTTGTTGTTTTATGTATGTATGTTTCCCCACTGAACGTAACCTAGACCCCTTAGGTCTGGACCAGTCAAATCTAGTCCCGCTTGAAGGCCCTCTAGGTCATCACCAACGTCCCAGTGGCCGCGCCGTTTCATACATGCTTAAATGTCAGATTATATGAATAAATAAGCACATACTCATTTGGTGGAGAGGGATAGAAGGAAAATGTGAAAAAGGTGTATTGAGCCTATCCCTCAACTGACTGTATGTCTTAGAAAACAAAAAACTCTAGTTGGACATCTGCATCGATGGGGCGTTGATCGCCGGGAACTCGTGGGATTTTAGCAAGGCACTTAAACTGGGATATTGATAATTTTTCATATGAACAGCAACTTCCCTGGTCTTTTCATCTCCAGCGACATGGTAATGCACCATAAGTTTCCCAAGCTGAATACCGTCTATAACAATTTCGTTTGGAGCGCACTTCAACGCGATAGAAGTGTCCTCTATGAAAGCGTTTCGAACGAGATGAATAAAATCCTGCGAAGGCATTTGGTCCCCCATTCGCCCCACAAGTCCCGTTGGAGTGGAATTCGTGAAGTGAGTCTTGAGAACATCCACGCGTGGTTGTACCGCATCCTCGTATAGCGCCCAGATAAAGGTATAATAAAACTCATTCAGTTTGCCCTGAATCTCACGCGTGGTCTGCGTCGCGGGATGAGTAATCGCAACCACACAACTCAATCTGCTCTCAATGGTATCCATAAACAAAATATCCACATCCTCCAATGCGAGGTTTAAAGCCGCCGAGGCATCAATGCGAAGGGCATTAAATGCCTGCTCACGACAAAATTTCAACACCTCTCGCCATTGGTCCGCCTCAAAATCAACCCGGTGATTGGAAGCGACGTAGTCCACGTGATCAGGACGATGACATTGGGTGTGAATGAAATAAATCTCGGGAAAGTCATTGCGGTCGAGAACGCCCTGTAGAAGCCGCGCGTTCAGAACCGGGGAGTGCATCACATGCGCGGAAAACTGAATCCCATCCTTTACTCTTTCCATGTGCGTCTCCATCACCTCCGTGCGCGGTATTCCCAAGGCATTGGCCACATCTTTTGCAAAAGCCTGGTGGAGTTCGGGCCATCTCGCACCAGGAGTATCGCGCCAAAATGGGCCGCTAAAAAGAACGGAAAGGGACGTTCGAATACGATCAGCGGGATTGCATTCATACAGCGCCCAGACCTCATTGTAGGCGTGCTTCTTTAGCAAACGGTCGATCGTGGAGGCCGACAACGTCGCGAGATGCCATAGGGTAAAGGAGAACTCTAAACAATTGCTGTGAGGTTTGAGTTCAACCCTGAGGTCGTCAATATTCCACCGCTCAAGACCCAATGTCCAGATCGTGCACAACGCAAAGGTGTTCACGATGAGCTGAAAGTTGCGCTCTAATAGGAAACACCAATTTTTGCCCTTTAAATGGATTCCGTGCGCGGTCTTTACAAAGTTCTCGCAGTCATGAAAACGGTACAATGACCATAGCTCATGGTATTCTGCCTGGTTTAAGCGCTTGTCAGCGGAAATTTCGGAGATGCTAGTTAGATTCACACGATAATTCATCACCAAACTGTCGTTGATGGAGTAGAGTGAAGTGACTTGAATCTGATGGCTGGGAACCCTAAGAATATGAGAGGTTTTTTGTACAAAAAGGTTCTGCAGTGTATTCCATCTCCGACAAACTAACACACCCCAGTTTTTACCTTTGAATATGTGCTGTAGATTATTGGAATCACCTGCTAAGCCCAAATCCAGACTGACAGCATTTTCACCGTGTGAATAACCATAAAAAGACCACACCTCCGGATGTGAATACGCCGCGGTCCGTTCCCGTATAGCGGCATCGCTTAGCGTACTGCGCACCGTGTACTCAATCACCAAACTTCCCACGGTGAGATTCGCAACCGTAATACAAGCGCGTGGAATCTGCAAACAGCGACTGATTCCCGTGCGGAAAGCCTCTGCGAGCGATCCCCCGTTGGAAGCCACCACCGGGCCCCACTGGTCCCCTTCAAAGACCTTCACATGCACCATGGATTCCCACCCCCCCTCAGGGACCTCGTCATAAAGCCGCCAGATCGCCGCGTAGTCATGTTGGAGAATTCTTTCATTCAGTTCAGCGGAGCTGACCCTCGCACTATGCCGCAATTGAAGCCGTATAGATAACAAATTGGGGTGTAAGCCCACGTCGCCGACGTCCACATCGTCCAGCTGAAGATGAACGGCCCGGGCCGTATCCTGTCTAGCCACGTCCACAATCTCGTCGTGCCTTAGCCAGTCAATAAACTCCCAGTTGGAAGCCTCAAACCCGATATGGTGCGTTGATATAATAGGCGTTGACATCAGAGAATCATTCGCATTCACCATCGCCTCTGCCGTGGGGGTCATGTTGTATAAAGACCAAACCTTGCGATAGGGGTAAGTATTCAGCCGGATCTGAATATTCGACTCACTAAAGTCTGCCACAGCAACCTTTGGGAGTCGGAACCACACAATCATATCCTGGTCCTCATTCATGACAAAGTTTACCTCGCAGATTGCATTATTCGGAATGCTACCAAGCGCGCGGGCGACCTCCTCAGAAAGGAAATTCTTGAGAAAGGTATATCGATTCCGGATGACGTAGTCCCATCCGTTGCCTTGAAAAATAATAGTTAAATCAATAAATAGTGAAGTTTGACTACTTGATGCGGATCCGTTAAGCCAGATATTCCAATTCGTGTCCTCGAAGGAACATATTAGTTTGTCAGAATTACGAACATCGCACACGGTAGAGCCAAAGTCACGCTGCGTAACGCCGACTACGCCACTTCTTGCTCTGAAATTACCCACCGTGGCTGTTGTAAAAACTTCCCCATTAGCTTTACTCTCAATGTGTGACTGAGGTTTGAGAGAGGAACTATTGCAATATTGATTCCAAGGCTCTATTAACGAATTATCCGTTCGACTACACCAGGCACAATTACTTTGCGGGCTGTTAATGGAACGGATATATAATACCCCTCCAGAAACATACGCCACTTCCCCAACACCAATTCTGTTGAGGCAAGAGATACTTCGAAATTCGCCTTTCAGGTGTCTTGTTAATGAGGAAGTCTGCAAATGCACTGTGTTGAAAGCAGCGGGGGGTAATACTGGTGGCAACTGCTCTGTGGAATTAGGAAAGACCACCATGTATAGACTCCAAACGCGCTCATATCCCCACAAAGAAAGCATATGATCAATATCGCTTTCAGTTTGTGACGCTGGGTGGTACATTGTAAGCTGCACTTTCAACATACCGTTCGTTAAGTCCATCTGCATGTCATCAATATTCTCCCTGGGAAACCCCAGGGCCTCCGAAGAGTCTAGGTAGAGTGCCTCGTGCAACTTCGAACCCTGATCATTTACAACTTCATTCCAATGCTCACCCTCAAAACCCAAGGTATGTGTGGTGGCCACTAGTTGCTCTGTTGAACTAGATACATGCTCGCGGTATATTGCCCACAAGGGATCATACTGGCACTTCATAAGCTTCTGATCTATCTCCTCCGTAGTTAGCGAATGCAGGTGGTTCAAGTCAAACTTCACAATAAGGCTACCAATGATGAACTCTGTATTCAGCACATGTTGTGTTTTCAAATCGAAAAGTTTCGCCGTGCAGGCAGCGAATACGGCCTCAAACTGGGGTTCACGGCCTTCCAAAACAGAGCCCCAGCCCTCACCCTCGAATACCACCCGGTGATGCGTTACGACCCACGACGTTTCGTAAAGAGCCCACATCTTGGGATAATCATAGGCCTCTGATTTCTTCTCAACCTCAAGACGCGTACGTTTTACACCCTTCAGGCTGTAAACTATGTTAACCCCATCAACGGTCGTTTCAATGGAGTGAATTAATATGTTACCGACTTTAGCTGTTAGGCACACGGCTTTGTCCGCCTTGAACGCAGCCTTAACCTTGGAGCGATACCGCATCACGATGTCACCCCAGGTTTCCCCCTCGAAGAAATGTACAAGCCTATCGCGCTCCCTCAGGACGGCAGAGCCACCCTGCGCGTTGGGCTCTCGCACCAGGTTCTTCCTTAGATGGTGGTACCATGCCCAGACGTTGGGAAAGGGATAATCCCGGAGTACGTCGTCCACATCCCGCGCGAAAACGCCTTCCAAGGTCACCTCGTAATGAACCACAGCGCACTGCGTTTCGGCTGAGACATCTCGGACAGTGACTGCCACCGGGGAAGGCCCCATGGCGTCACCGACGTCTCGCACAAAAGCCTCCTCGAACTCCGTTTTCCGACTTACCAGCACCGCAGGCCAATCCTCGCCATTGAAGATTTGCGTGAACTGACGAACAGAGGTTTCCTGACGATAGACAAACTGATTATATAAAGCCCATACTTCTGGGTACTCAAAGGTATTGATTGTGGACCATACGGATTGAGGGGAAATCCCGTGTGCGGACACGCTAAACCGCGCCTGTAGGCGATCCGACATGTGAGTGAATTCATGGATCTTGATCTCCCGGGGAGATATACCAAGCGCAGACGCCGTATCGGTGCGAAAAGCCTTCGTGAAAGCCGAAGATGCGGTGTTGAGGGCGGCACGCCAGTATTGGCCTTCGAAATTCTTCACGTAGATTGTATCGCTACCATTGTAGGTCGCGGTAGGGTACGATGAGGTCTCCAGTGAAGATACAGGATCCACAATACCATCTGAAATCATCATATTGTCGTTCAATGAAAGAGGGTGCTCGGATTCTTGCAAGGAATTGATTCGGTCTTTCCCTTGGAGCCTTTCCATCTCAATGGTGACATCCTGCGAATGATGCATTGTGCTGGTGTCTTTGTTCGCATTCAATGCTAGGGATATCTCAGGCGATGATAATACGGCGGATGCCCTTTTTCGGATGTCACTATGTCGACGATACAGCTCCCAGGTGTAGTGGAATGCACACGCCTTGCATGCACGATCCACTTCCGCGGCATCGATGTTGTAATCGGTGATGATATAACACACTATGAGGTGATCTTCCTCATCGCAGTGGATGTCTAAAATCTCGAATTTGTCCTGCTCTACCGCCGTGGCGTCACTGATATCCTTGAGGAAGCTGCTCATCAGAGAAGTGGGATACTTCAGAAGCAACTCACCCCAGAGCTCACCGGCAAACCCCACCTGGTTTCGAGGAGGGTCATCTTTAATCTGGAGATTAGATGATAGACCTTCCTCGACCCCCGTGGCCTCCTTCTCATCCTCATAAATCTTCATCAGAGCCTGGTAGTCAAAGGAGTTTATGCGTTTCTGAATCGCCTCCCGCTTTTGTGAGCGGTCGTGTAGGATGTCAAGATCGGCGATAAGACTCCCTAGTCGGAGATCGACAACAGTGATGCTCTCTGTGGATAATTCCAAACAACTTGCAGTGTCCTCGCGAAGAGCCTGTTCAATATCATTACGTCTCCGGGTGATTATGTCCTTCCATCGTTTGCCCTTAATTCTGCGCTGAAAACGATCCGTGAACTTCGTGGAGTGGCGCGATAGCGAAACCGAGCCCTTCAACGCGGGCTGCGAATTATGATCCGGGGTGATGGATTTGTGCAAACCTGTTGTGAGCGCGACATCCAGTGCGCCGATCTGAAATTCCGACAGAAAATAGTCCTCACCGGCCCCAACCCTCGAAAGGGGGGAGCCGAAATCGACGAGGAAGTTTTCCCAGGGGATGAAGGTCACGCGATCCGTCGGCTCCCACCGATAAAAGGCCGGCAGTAAATACGCCCGCTTCGACTTCCCGGCAAAGCTGTTTTCATAGCGGTGGGTAGCGATATCATCACTCGAGTGGTGGTGATGGGTTTTCTCATCATTAGGGTTGGATGTTGAGTTCAGCAGACAAAATCGAAGCTGACAATACAGTTTCTCCTCAGTCGCCTGAAGCTCAGCAATGTGAACTTCTTCCTGGTTGAGATTATTTAACAAGGCAAGATATTCTTCTAATAAGTCATGATTCACCTGTTTAACCTTATCTCTTTGGGTTAAGGCATCTCGATAATCTAAATGGGCCAATACCCAATAGTAGATGGGGCTCAACGCGACGCTGCCTTTCAGCACATCCTCATGGTTGAAGCCCTTCCGGCTTATACATTCCTGCAGAATATAATCGCAGCGATTTGGCGAGAGCTGTCGCTCGGGATCGAAATAAATGATGCGGTGTATGAAATTGCCATCCTGTAGAATACGCCTCATCTGGACCCATGTACGGGCCTCGTCCTCCGACAGGAGAAGCATCACCGCACGAACTACAAGTAGTACCGCCTTGGGAGGAGTCCGGTATGATTTCAACTCATTCCAGTTAAAATCGCGTATTTTTTCCACATCCTTGCAAGTCGCCTCGATCGCGACCTTGGACTTCAACACATGAGCATCCACGACCTCAAAAAGACGCATCAACTCGACCCGGCTGCTGCGTAATTGTTTAATAAGCAAATCAGCCGCCTTTATGTGCGTTTGGGTCTCCACTTTCACGTGGTTGAGACGAATCAAGAGCTCCTGAGCCTCGGGAATATTGGGGATGTCGCTTTCCTTCAAGGGCTCCCGCCGCTTTTCCCATAAACGGAGCTCGAGATCCGTATTGAGCTGAAAGGATTGGACGCTGCTGAGGGTCCAACGGAGGGCATCTCCGTGTGCACCTGAAATCCTAAACGCAACAACGTCGCCGATGTCTAGATGAGACAATTCCCGTGTCTTTTCGGAGCTGAACATGGCTAACTGGTGAATGGGTTTTGGTGTCATTGGCATGGAACAAGTCTCACAAGTCTATTGAACAGGTAAATCTCTTGTTACAACTGGTTACAAATTACATATATATATCGATATATTTATATTTATATGTAGAGAGATGTATAGATGTATATGTATTTCTTATAGAATATAAAAATTAACCTTGGTATTTTATAAATGCTTTGTTCTATATAAGAATAAATTTTCTAAAATGGTTTCTTACAGGTTCATGTATATTTTTTATTTTTATAGTGCTACAGACTACATAAAACCTGACTAAACATATAGCTTATTTATACATATTTATTTATGTGTGTGTACAAAATTGTGAAGAGGAAAAGATCAAAAAGAAAGGGATTGGTATTTCATTAATTCATCGAAATTATGTAATGTATTCAACCCATGTGTGCGTAAAAAATTATGTTACCTATTTAAAGAATGAAACCACTAAGAAAAATCCACTAAAACTCTATTCAATAGGGAATATGTACCCTCACAACGTGTGGCTCCGTTTTAGTACACAGTGATGTATAATGCTGAGGTGTACCCAATAGATATAAAATGGCCACATAAACAAAAAAAGATTTCCATAAAACGAAAATAATAAAAAGGTTAAAAAAATGCACTGATTCCCTACAACACAATCTTACTATATTGTCATTATAAGCTACTAAACCTCTCTCTTGCTGTATGCATGTCTCACAAAAGGTAATCTGGGCAACCAGAGAAAGAAAAAAAAATTGCTTTTAAAAAATCCACCCCAAGAGTTATTGGGAGGTTTCCTTATGATGTAGAAATTCTTAGTCGTTTTTCTTAAACATCCTAAAAATGATTCCTTGTACCTCTCTCCAAATTGAGGAACATCCCTACTGAATAATAGACAAAAATATAAGAAAAAAATTGCACAAATATAGTAGTCTCCGTTAACATTGGTTCACCTTTTGCGTTTTACTCCTTGCAAAAGAAAGAAAAAAACTGCAAATAATAATAAAAGAATAGTCATGTCGAAGCATATTGATATAGAAAAACAAATCGGTGTAGTTTAAATACGATGATAAAAGAAATGATTGTGAAAACTCACATGAGCTGACTCTCCCCTTACCTTCCTCCATTCCTTAAGAGGTACCTCTGGACGGAAAAAATACATTACCCCGCAAGAAAAAAACTAACGAGATGTATTACAGCATTCAAAAGATAACCGCATTCAACTCGCCATTCCTTCAGGATGAGAAAAAGATAATAACATAACTCCAAACTCATTATTTCCTTCATTTAACATCCTCAACCCTAAAATGAAATAAAATTTCTAGCTTTAGGGTTCTATTCAGATAGAAGAATATTTGTTACCGTTAGTTGGAGCCTTAGTGTAAACGGCACCTTAATGAAATTAATTCCTTCCAAGGAGTAGTGTGTGAATACAACGCCTGTTTATATGGGCAATCAAATACTGTAGCATAGAAAAATATTTCTGTAAAATTCTAAAAGAGATGGTTGAAAAAACTTCGTTCAATGTAATAAACAAGGCAAAGTAACTGCATAAAAGTAAAGGATAAAATTCACTTGTTCGTTCATCCTTTATTCATATACCCGATCGAATCAATCATATAAAGACAGGTCAAAAAAAAGGATGCGCTCGCAGATCCTTCGGAAGCACTACACACCATTTGATATCGCTGCCCTATTAACTCGAAACCCTTGTCTTTTGTCTGGCTATCACGTTTTGACTGAGGCTATCAAGTATTTTGGTGTCGAGTGAAAATAATATAATCGGCTTAAGCGACGACACGCACGGAGGCAATGGCGGGTTCGAATCGACTGAAGACTGCTGAATAGGCCGCGTGGAAAGGCTCGAATGCGCAAGTTTTAACACGGCATCGCCACTATCATAAATTAAGGTATCGTCCATCCGCACGAGGATGTTCTTCACCCACGCCGCCGCCCCATCAAGCACCAACGGACGGTTCAATCCCAAAACGGATAGACAAAAAGGCGTATCCGATACGTACGCCAACTCGACATAAACCTGAAGCTGCGTCGAGGCGGCCTCGGGGCTGGGGTGCCATAGAAGCGTCGGCGAGGTGGAAACTAAACTCTCCGCGACCATGTTCATCGTGAAATACCCATCCCCGCCCGCATCCTCGTCGGACAAGGGCGCCGTCTCGGTGTGATTTCGCAAAAAGTTAAGGACATGGCTGTCCTCCTCCGTCAGGCGCATCCCGTCCGGGTTTTGTTCACTCCTTACCCCCTCCTGGCCCCGCTGGGGCACCTGAATAATCTTCCCGTCCTCATTAACGATGGAGCAGGACGCGAGGGGGGAGAGAATCCACTCCTTTAAATACGCCTTCAGGGAATCCGCGGCGGCTGGGAAAGGACTTCCGGCGGCCTCCCCTGACGAAAGCGAGGGTGGCCCCGCGGTGGCCTCGCGAGAACTCGCACTGGCGCCAACCGAGCGTGCACAGATGGTCAAACACACCTTCAACACATACCCAACGGGCAGTAAAGGAGTAATGTAGGGTTGGTAATCCAAAAGCCAGTCTGGCCAGTCCCGCAGCAGCATACGCGCGCGCCGCATCGCCATCATCGCGCGAATGTTCATCGACGCACTCAAACTCCCCTCCCGGGTGCAGCCGGTCCCTGATAAAGTGGGAATGCACCGCATTTTGGCACCCCCTTCGTCTTTGGAAAGTCCGATCGGGGTGGGTGCAGAATCACCGCCCGTCCCCGGGCCGACCGCGATATAGAAGCGATCCATCTGCTCGACCCTGGAGCTGCCATCATCACCCCATTCGGTAATTTCAATCTCATCTCCATTAGAGTTCCCGAGAGAGAGGTCGTAAGTCTGAAAACGGGCGCGGTTGAAGTTCACAGGGGCCTTCCGCAGCACGACGCCCTCGCTCGGCGTGATCTCGAGCACACCGGCCTGTTGAAGTACCCGACGACTCCTCCTCGAACTCGCTAAAGTCCACAAATGCTGGTAAATTAAAGGCTGCGGCGGCTCGGAGAGCCCGTGCTCCGCAGTGGAAAAGGATGAAGATGATCCGACCGATAAAAAGAGCCGTACCTCCTTCACCCCGCAGTAGGTGTGCGTCCCGACAGAGTAGTTCGCGATGTCCAAGAAGCCGAGAGTTTCGATGGGCTTGTCAAAAATCAGGAGTAGCTCCATCCCAGGAAAGAAAGGCAACACGCAGGCAGTGTCGGGACATTCGTCGAATAAGTGTCGAACTTGGTTTTGAAAGGACCTCTGCTTCTCAAGGGTCATGTAGGAGCCGTCCGGGTACTGTACTGACGCACTCCGCAGGCTCGCGCTGATGCAGTTTCCATGCGCATCGCGCAACCGCAGACCACTGAGGCCAATATGCTCAGTATCACCCCACGTTGAAAGCAACATAAAACACGCGCTGCGAACCTGCTTTGGGCATTCTGAGGGATAGGCCGATGTATAGTGTTGCGAAGCATTGCAAACAAATTGGGAATGGTCCCCGTTGCCCTCCGCACCAATCGCCCCAACCCAGGCATTGTCGTTGGAAGACGACGTGTTGACCAAACTTGGCTTCATGGGCGGCGTTTTGGTCATTTTTGTGGATTCAGATAGGGATTTAGACAACGAAACAGTGGGGGGAGTGATACTCGTGCATTGGTCCGTGACTTGAGACGAGGATTGGTCTTTTTGAACCATACTCGTAGTGCTTGGTCGCGCTCGCAACTTATTCGTCAGTGAGGATGACAAAGTGCCAGCCGTGGAGTGGCCAACGGAGAGCTGAGAACTCAAAGTGGTTACAGGCAGTCTTCCACCCACGTAGTTCTGCGCCTGATCGCTGTCGCTGTAAAATAGAAAAGTAGTGCCCCTGGTAGTATGATTAGAACTCGTCTGAGGTCGCTCACCATGCCCAGTACTGGACTGTGAGGATGTACGTCGCCAACCCCCTTCATCAAAGTCTCTAGAGATACTATTCTCATACTCATCCCTATATGCGCAATTCACACTGTCATCCGCTTTATGTCCTAAACCTAGAATACGTCGCAGAATGCACAAGTCCTGTGTAAAGAGGATGTTTTCACAATTCTTGATACCCCTCTGTAATGGGTCGGTAATCCATTCACCGCTGCTTTGCGCAATCTCACCATGAAAGACAAGAATATCATCTACGGTGATCTCAGCGACGCGGACACCCTTCGTCGTATGCACTCGGCCCTTTCCAGAATAGTTGTAGATACGAATCATGCTCAGAGTAATAGGTGTTGAGAACATAAAGCAGATAAGGTGATTGTGGCTGTGGGTATATGGGATGGCAAACATCCCGTTCTCGTCGTGTGTATTGTAAGGGCCATGAATGATGTTGCAAAGTTGCCGTCGCGAGTTGCTGCAGAACTCCTCTATAGAGCTTGCGCTGCTCATCGCAATAAATTCTTCTCCGGTGGAAGAATATTCTGCCAATACCTTCAAGAGGCCATCCCGTGTTGTGTGCATGAGAGATACCACCTGTCTTGAGTCGATATCCATGGTCTGATGAGGATGTATCACTGATGCTGAAAGCCCTTCCTGGGTAGCTGCACTATCGTCCGCTGAGATCACCGAGCGAGGGTGCACATTCAACGAAGACGATCCAGTAGTCTCATCTGGGATGACACTCTGGCCGTGTTCGTTAAAAAACTCCACGCCACTAATCCCTATTTCGTAGTCATCCCCCCAGTTAGATAAAAAATTCATGATAATATAGCGCCCCTTGGGCATAAAATCCACCATAATCGACGTTGATTCGGGGTCGTCTCCCTCTTCCTCAGCTACAGCCACGGCAGGAGTTGTTGAACTGCCCTCCGACGGATCCCACGCTGATTCCCCCAGCCGAGCGCCACCTTTCCATCGCTGCGAAGGGCCCTGCACCAGTGATGGCTTGCGCACGGCTGCAGTCGTCCGCGTGTCCCGTGACGCACCCCGCAAGGCGCGCGGAGGGGACGTCACAGTCAGACACGGGGCCTCTGTTGGGGGCCAAGGCGAAGTCGCGAACTCCCGCGCTTTGTTGGAGGAGAATCTCCGGTAGGCCCCCCCTTTAGGAGACCGCAGGCGGGGAGTCCGGAGAAGGGTCCCGCGGTGAGCCTCAAAAGGAGGCAGTGGCGCGATCGCGCTGTCCGACACGGCCCCCGTGCGCGATTTGCGCGTTGATGGGCCAAACCCCTGTAAGGTTCGGCGGCGTGAACGCGCGCACGTTTGCGGGATGAATTGGGGAAGCCCCGGGTAATGAAAAGTGGAGGAAGTGGAAGAGGGGGGGGGGCCTTCTGCCTCGCTCGCGATGGAGACGTTGTCGGAAGCAAGAACCGAGGATGAAACCGCGCGGCGCGATGGCCCTATTTGTTGCGGATGCGCCACAGTCTCCGCGTTGTGCCCGGGTGCACCATAGACTTCAGTGAGACCCCTAAATTGGCACCGCAACGCTCGTTTTCGGCTTTTCGAAAGCATGCTTAGCATTTGAGAAAAGACAGGGTCCGTCACAAGGCGAGAGCCGCCATGAGTCCCTGTGGGGCTGGGTTGCTTTTTATTAGGGTTTTTCGGGAAGAATGTGGACTCCTCTGAGCTTGCCTTCAATGGGAATCTGCCATGGGGCGCGACATCTAACGTGGGAACGGTCGTGGAGTCCTTGCGAAACTTATCTTTGGGGTGAAGACGGGGGTGAACTCCACCTGAATATGGTTTGCTTATACAATAATGTTGCGCAGAAGCTACATTAGACTTTTCTTTCGTCGCCGAAAGAACCACACCTCCGTTTTCTCTACTTGATTGTTCACGAACAGATGATGTGGCCGGTTGTACCAAAGATAAGATATCGCTTTGATGGAAAAAATATAGTTTGGGTGTACGTCTTTGTCGTGTAGCCTGATCTTTCTCTTCAGTCTTCAAAACTGCACCGTGTGTCGATGAGCTGCCTCTTGTCAGCCTTTGCTGTGACGTTATGATGTTTGTGTCATATTCTGAAGAGTCCTCCTGAAATGGTTGTAATTCCTCATGTGGTGCTGCCAGGGTATGACGTTCCAGCGACGTTTGAAACGGAGATTTCACACTTCCTAAACCAGTTGTGTCCTCTTCTAGGCCGCATTCACCTTTTTTCTTAGATAAAGAATGTTTCATTGCGTCTAATCCCCTTATTATATGTTCAATGTATCCCAAAAAAGATATGAGATATATATCGATAAAGGTAATTTGGGGTGCTTTTCATTTAATGATAAGTCAAATCTCAATGATTCCTTGTACTATATAAACTACTTTTATTATGTTAGTTGACCTTCGACAAGAAAGAAAAGAGACAGCCTTGGAGAGTGAAACCTTTTTTTTGTAAAAAAAAAGTAGTAAAACGCACTTTTATTGTCATATTTACGGAAATAAACACAAAAAAAGTATTTCATATGATCACAAGAATGTGTGCTCCACTTGTACATACACCAGCAACTGAAGCACCCTGTGTTTTGGACGGTAAGTATAGTTATTACAGTTAAAACATTTATTTTGACACAACAATAGAGTAAAAGGCAAACTCAGAAGGCACTATGGAATTTTAACACTTTTCCAACACAATGTTAAATAGTTTGGTACTCAATCCGCTTGTTCGTTTTGTGTGTATGTATTTTTCAATCTAAAATTCAACTATTAATGTTTCTAGGATTTTTTTTTCGCTTTGTAAAAAATTTTTACTGCACGATTCACAATTTCTGACAACCAATAATATTGAATACCTTGAACTAAGAAGATCCCTACGGTGGACAACACACAAGCCAACTCATCATGCGTCCGAAACGTGTAGCCCGGTGTATTTCTGTTAAGAATATCTTCATAAAGATTTCTAAGCGCAACTTTCATCAAAAAACATGTCAATATGGTACTAAAGACACATCTAATAAGAACAAATAAAAATGCGAATATGTATTCAAACCAAGCCGCGTACTTACTGCATGTATGGTACACCTTTGGGTTTTCTATGTTGTTTGAAGCAACCATATGAAGCGTGATGGAGACATGAAAGAAAAAGTTGTTGATTTCGTAACAACCAGTGTAGAACCCAGCGTAAACGTCTGCATATGGAAACCAAAGACAGTAAACCCCTATTAAGCTACATATGCCGTGGATCTTCCATGTCAAAGACCAATTGTCGGTAAAGCAAACGATGACATCCCATGTGAAATAAGCAACTATTGCAACTCTGTAAACAGAAAATATTGGAAAATCAACGACCTGGTACAAATCATCCAAAAGTTTAAAGGAGAGAAGATATAAATTGCAAATGAAAATCACTGAACTTCCTGACATAATGATTCCATTGAGAGCGCTGCACGCTCGCTGCTTGAGTTCCTTCTGGTCTGACGCTGAGAATCGCTCCCAACCAGGAATGATGCGGCGCAACACGATCCCAGAGAAGAATTGAACACCAAACCAAAAAATGACAAATGATATGAACAAGGGCCAATCTCGCTGAATAGGGGCCAACCACACATCCTTTGCCGTTGAAAATCCCATTATAATATATTTTAATTAAGAAATATGTAAGTTTGGATTTTTATTACTAAAGATAGATTTATGTTTTAGTTTTATTATTATGATAGATATTAGGGTAGCTTTTAATGTTAAAAAAAAAGCATTATGTTAAGTGGAAATGTGTTGATTTGTATTCAAAAGATATCATCTTTCAATATCATATGGTACTCACATCGTCTATGGGGGCGAAAGAATGTTCAACTTGAGGAAAGCTATTTAGAATTCATTATTCACCTCATTGAAGATAAAAAAATATATCAACCTCACCTTATAAAGAGTTCATTGAAAAAGCCTTAGTCTTTCAAGGAGTTCACATGCGCATCTTAGGTAATTAGGAAAAATAAAGGAATAACCCAATTGATTTTTCCGCTGTCAAATGCATATAATACGAATTTTCCCCACACTATTATCATTTTTATTATCACAATCATTTTTAAAAATTGAAAAGATAAAATAAATTAAACTGAGTTGAAATATTGTCCCTTTAAAATAAATTTGGCTCATTCTACAGATATATTGTCATGGATGTATAAAATAAAAAAGAACTCATATAATCCCAGGAGCTCCCTGTTCTTCCCTCCAGGGTATGAAGTGGGGCATAAAAAAAAAAATTCATTTCCATTGACTCTTAATCACGTCTATCCATATTTGGGATTTTTACTTTAATTTTGGGGGGGGATAATGCAAGCCGCAGTGTACAACATGAAATCTGTTATCACCTGCTAACGTTTTTCGCTACTCCGCCGCGTTGATGACATCCTGACCATGCTTCTTGAAATTCGACCAGTACTTGTGCATTTCCAGCGCCACAGTACAACTATCCCGTACGATCGGCTCGGAGTGCTCAGCGTAGGCTTCCAGAACCGATAAAGAAACCGGATCCGCAATCGCGCCGATAGCCTCGGCGGCCTCATGTCGCACCATAGGGGCCTCGCTCTCATCCTCCAGAGCCTCTATGAGGGCGGGCTGGCTCCTCGGATCCTCCATCTGCCCAAGGACGAAGGCGACCTCGTGGCGAAACAGAGTCGACGCTGTGTCCTCGCGGAGCGCGCGGCAGAGCGCATCCACGGCCTCCGCCGTCGCGAGATTTCGCAGCGTGAACATCGCCATATACCGCATGTACAAACTGCTGGATCCCGAGGTGTTCAGAAGGAGATTGGTGAGCTCCTCCACCGACTGTGGGGCCGGCTTGCCGTCCACGGTGTTCCGCCGCTCCGTGAAGGCGGGAGATGGATCAACGGAGACGAAGGGGCAGCCCTCTGGCGGCTGAAGAGCCTCATCGCCCTCCTTCATCCGCGTCGCGATGCGCGCCAAGGCGAGCTCGCAGGTCTCACGGACGGCGACATTTGGCTCGTTTTGGCTATCCGCGTAATACTCAAGGATTTGGATGGCCTTGGGGCTGCCAATGGCACCAAGCGACTCGGCCGCCTCGTGGCGGGTGACGTCATCGTACTTCCGGTCTGAAACGATCTTCCCCAAAGGCCCCACCGTCTCCTCCAGACCGCTCTGTCCGATATTGTATGCCAGTTCATGCTGAAGCAGAACGGAGTCTGTGGTGTCAATGGCCTCCAACAACACCGTAGCCCCCGCTGAGGTTTTCAGGTAGGTCTCCTTCAGACGGTAAAGCTCTCGCATCCGGCTGTCCAAGGGTTCCATGGGGTCAAGGAGCTTGGAAAAGTCCTTTCGTAGATCCTCAATATTGGGGTTCATTAGCTTAATTAAAAATAATGATATATGTGGAATGTTTTCTTTTCGAAAATGGAAAAAGTTTGACCCTTCTTTGTCTGATCAAAAACACTTTTTTGAGTCCTCCTAATCACCACAAAAAGAGAAAAAGAAATGGTCAATCTAATTACAGATACAACATAATACTTTGTGTTTGTGAATGAAACCGCGCATCCATATAATCATGATAATCACATTATTATCATTGCTACTATAAGCTTTAAAAAATTCCTACAAGAATTTTTACGTACAATAGCTCAGAATGCACCTGTTTGTTTGTGTTGGCCTCCTTTAGATATTTGTTACTCTCAAAATCATCACTACACACATAGACACAAAATAACCTTGGGACAGAATGAGTGATCAGCGGCATCCTGTCCCATGACTTGCCTCTTCATTGTTCCCTTTACAGGCGAACTTATTAATTTTTTAAAATGAGAAGAGGCAAACCTGGAGAACAATCAATGGACAATGCAACTTCTTGAAGTAACCGTGAAAGTTGACAAAATCGACTCCAACTGCCTATTAAAGGCCTTAGATAATGCTAAAGTTGGCTCCTGTGAAACTGAAGCCGGAGTTGGGGCGGATCTGGGCCAAGTAAATTCCTGACTACATGATGGCAACCCAAGGTCTATCTTTAACGGAAGTTTCGGTACTTCGGGATGATCCGACTTTCTAACTCTATCAAAATCCGCCTCAGCAGTACCTGATGCACCCTCAGCTATCGTTCTCTCGCGTTGCGAAATCGCGTCGGTGGGGTATCTCTCCTCAAGGAGCTTCAGCTGGGCACACCAACACTGGGCTGAGGTGCGAAATGGATTGCACAGCGCGGCCGAAGCGCACTCGTAGATAGCCCGACAAAGCGGGATGACAGCATCCGAAGGGGCCTCACTCCCCACCGTCACCAGCAGCGTGGTGATGCCGGTGGCGGAGCAAAAGCCATAGGAAAGAAAGCGGTAGCTATGGATGAGCTTCCCCAGAAAGCGAATGTCAGTCGACGAGGTCACCAGGCGTCGAGGCGATATTGTGTTTGAAAGAGACGTATTGAGGCCTGTGGGGGCCAGCGTAGAGCTGGACCCCACCCTGGGCAGAGCCCCGTCGGATTCCTCCTTGGGGTTCACAGCCGCATTACCTGGTAATTTTGAATTATCCCGAGTTGTTGGTGCATATCCTAAAGATCCACTCTGCGGAGTTGTGGTCGTAGAGACAGTAGCCTGCATACGCTGTTTTTTGGCAGTCACAAGCTCCTCGCTGCGATCAAGCGAAGAGAAAAGCAAAAAATGGAGATCAAGAATATCCTCAGGGCAAACATAAAGATGTGCCTGGGTGGGAAATTCAGGAGCATTAAGAACAGACGGAGGAGAAAGAAATGCTCGAATAATAAGCGGTGTACCAGCCGAATCCACAATCGCGACCGCTGCAACTGCCCACATCTCCAACGACATCGTCAAAAGTTTTTTTTAGAATATACAAGTAGAAAGGGTTTCACAACTTAAAAACTATACGTCTCTGAAACTAGAATAAAAGAAAAGAAGAGGTTCAATTTAAAAAAAAAGACGGCCAAGGAATCAAATAGAACACATTAAAATGAAATGAATAAGAAAGCACACGCAATGAATTGCAATGCGTCCACAAATCGAATATCAAGCACCAGTAATAATCGTCAAATCAACAATTACAACTGAAACCTCGACATCGTAAATACTGAAAAATAAGCTAACAACTATCCCCGAGACTAATAGCCGCTAAAATCGAAGAGCAAAACCCTACACGTCAGGTAACAACACAGAGGCAATGAAGAAACAAGCAAAAAAAAAGCATGAAATCTGGAACAACGCAACCCATTCTTCTCGCATGAAATCTCACATCAGTTTATTTGGCTTCGTTGATATATGTTCAAGGTCAGCGTAGTCTGTCTATCAGGATGGCATAAACCTCTCAGGAAGAACGCAGCATTGACCCTTGCATCACACGTGAAGTCCATGCCGTAATATACACACATCAAACAACCATCAACTCACACGCCTGCACAAACAACGAAGTGCAGAGCTAGGAACCCTGACCTTTGGATGCTTACGTCCTCTTCCTATCTCGCAACCCTTTGACACACATCTCCAACATCAAGTTTCTTCGTTAGAGCGGTAACACGAGTTGCTATCGTATCTACTAAACAAGGAACACCGGGTAAAACAAACGGAACAACACCACACTAAAATCCCTCCACCTACCCAGCACGCCCAACAACCGTCCACACAGGCAAAGAAAAAGGGTATCCAATAGAAACAACAACGGTAGCGTGCTCGTCCACATCAGAGAAACGACAGTTCAATGTAGTAATGTGTGCATCAACGCGATAATTCAGAATTAGCGAAAATATATTATATTCTCATCATACTGCAGAACGAGTTCACAAACATCAAAAAAAGACCGCACTTTTCGGGTGTCACTCCCTAGAAACCCTTCCACTAAAGGGAACGACAACAGCATCAGACCTTTTTGCATATACACGATCGTTTCAAGTCATCACAAGTAAGCTCATTAAAGGTACACTCGTAAAGATGTGATCTCGTCATTTGCTGTATAATTCTCCTCATTCGGTGCATCACCTTGCAATCTCAAACCTTCCGACCCAGCGCACTTAGTACAGTCATTCCCTGCCCAGTCAAGCACACGGAAATAAGAACCACACACACACACAAACTAAGCCACCAGATGGTCAGGCATAAGGATATCTAGCTCCATTGTTCATCAACAAAATGCTCACCAAAGACTGGGTTGCAGTACAAGAGCATGTTGAGCGAAATGGTGCGTCCTCCCTCGCGTGCCCACACAGTGGCGGCACCACCACATACAAATCTGAAATACCGAATCTGAAAAAGCCCGGGCGGGTTGGAGCGGCATGGCTCAGAGATATCTCTTCAGAGATAGGCACGGTGGCTTGTCAGGGCGCCACAAAAGGGACGCTCAGTAGGTACACTCAAGAATACTCGTGCGGGATCATCATACCCTGCATGGCATCGCAACCCAAAAATTATAAAGACGGGGGCCAGCCGCATGTGTTGGTAGGCCGGCGTTTGTTCATCCTGCCGATAGCCAAATCAGAAAATAACCCTCCCCACGAGGGGGAATAAATAGATATGTGCAACATGAAGGAACTCTGTGGCAGCGAAAATATGGTTTATTCATCATGTAACGGCATGACAACAGCACCCCGGATTAGAAATCGTATGTCGCATTTCACCCACATAATTAAACATGTCATTGTAACACACCTTCAAATGATACGCTATTGCCCTTTCTATTCCATGGCGTTGTCGTTTTTATTTGTAGGATAAAAAAGGAGGTTAGTTGGGGTAAATCTTCGTACTAAAAGCTTCTAGCCTTCATTAAGAAGAAAAAGGAATAAAAATGAGGCTGAATAAAGTAAATGCGTAATAAACAAAGGACAACTTCCTCATTTACCCATCCGTGGGGTGGGTTTCAAGGTATGGCAGAAAAAAATGCGAACTCTTCCTCATCTCACTTTGGCTGATTGAAATGATCGCTGTTTTAAGGGCTCATATTCTTTTTTTTTAAGATCTGCATAGCATAACAATTCAAAGATACGAAGACTGCAAGTCAAACAACGCTATTCCCTTGTTCTTTCCATTTCACTCTTTTTTGTGCTCACTAGCACCACAACACTTCTCGTGATAGTGTTTGTACTATCTAACCTTCACCTGGCCTTAAGCCGCGGGTGAGAGTTGGAAATCCCTTAGGCTGCACCTTCACATTGTTGATTCCCAATACGTCCCCCATCTTCTGATAATCAAAACGTCTACCCTTACTTCCGTAGCTGTTTCGAAGCTCCTCGAGCAGCTTCTTCGCGGCCGCGTCGCGATGCCAGCGGTTTGTTGCCATAAACGTGTGCGCGATGTCATCCAAATCACCGGTGGGAACCTGATCAACGTAGGGGCTTTGGTAAAAGCCCTCCCACCGTAGCTGATCATCCGCTTCGGCATCGGAGTTAAATACCGTAGCGTGTGTAAGAGGCCTCTCGACGCTCAGCGTGTCAATGCGATCGTCGCTGGAAGCAAGATACTCTTCCAGGTGTGGGTTCGCTTGGCGATATGATTTTTTGAAATCATCTGCAGACGTTCGCGCGGGATTGCCGCCACCACTCCTGCTTAGATCGACTACATGACCAAGATACGAAGCACCATTTGTCGGCTCACCAAGCTGCAGCTCTTGGTTATGTTCATATTCACGAGTTGCCTCCTCGGTAGCGCGTTGGGCAGCAGTTTCTTTTAACAACTCGTCACGCTTTTTCTGCTTTGCGTCGCGTTGGATCTCCTCGACGTACTTCACCAAGGCCCTCCCATCAAAGTTGTACGGCAGCGCAATGGTGCGACTTTCCCAGTTAATATCCAGCACAGGACTCAGCACAAAGGTGAATTCACTCCAATCCCACTGCGCAAGGGTGGCACCGATGGAAAAGAGCTCCTTTGCCCACTCTAGCCGCTGCGCGTAGGTGCATTCGTTGCTCTGGAAGGCATCCACCCCGCCGGGTTCGGCCATCGTTTGGAACTCTTTTAGGTGCCACATCGTTGTTTCCAGAAGCCGCTTAGCGACCTCGTAGAGCTGCCGCTGCAGGGGCAGCTTCTCGTGAATCCGCTCGAGCCAGGTGCGCAGCTCGCTCACCTCCCGCATCGAGGCGTTGAGGATGAGCACCCCGTTTGCCCGCGTGGCGTAACGCCCTTCCTGCAGCTCCAACGTCAGCTCCCTCACCCCGTACTGGTGTAACAACTCCTTGTTGCGCTCCAGTAAACGTAGGGCGTGCTGGGCTGAGCGGTGTGAGCAAGAGATCAACACATCATCCAGCCCCAGCGTGTTACAAAGCGACTCGATCAGACGCTCGGTTTCCGTTGCAAAACTAAGGGCCTCCGTCCGGCACTTTCCCACCTGTGCGGCGTTATGGCTGAGGAAGCTCACAAACTGGGTGCTTGTGAAATCCCATGGGATCGTCAGGCTGCCGGTGACCTCCTCGCCCATTGCGAAATGGTCGGAGACGATCAACGGCATCGACTCCCACACGTCGTACTGCATCTCGCCAAGGTCGCGCCGTAGTGTGTGCAGGGCCGCGGAGCACTGCAGTGGGGAGAGCGACTTGGAGAAAAAAACCTGGTCACCATCCATCAGCTCCTCAATCGTAGGGATAGGCGTGAGCGACCACCGCATCGAGAGCATCTCCGCCGTCTCGTCAAGAAGCGAGTTTGGATTCCTCGCTTTGGATCGCTCGCCGCGGATCCCCAATATGGGGCGCCGACGGAGAGGCTTCGCCTCCCGCCGAGCGGCGGTAGAATCCTCCGCTGATGAGATGGACTCCGTGATGGAATCGATGCACCCCGCCCGCCGGAGGAGGTCGCGAAGGAACTTGTTGACAGAACGCTCGACCAACCCACGGTTCGCTTCACTCGCAGCGAAGCCCTCTGGAAGCTCAAAGGTGGAATTCACAACCGTCGCACCAGAGGGCATGGCTTTAGATGAATTCCATAGACGCCGATTCTCGATCAAGTTCTCCCCATCCCCTTCATACGGTGCGGCGTCGACGCCCATCATCTCCTCACCCTCATCTAATCGACTGTAAAAGGTGAACACGATTGACGTTGCGGGTGGGGGACTCAAGGTGCCTGTCTTAAATTCCCGAGCCCAGCTAAGCAATTCGTTAAGCTGTGCAACCGAGTTCTCATTAACTACCTGTTGATCTCGGTTGTGGTGGAAAAAATCTGGGTGAACCTTGAGAAAAAACGCATTAAGTGCTTTCTTGTACATCGCCGCGGTTGTCCTCTTACCAAGGGACAATCTTAAATAATAATAATAAAAGTAGAGGTAATATATGGTCAAAGTTAAAACCCTAACTAACGAGTAAAAACTCTCTTCATTACGCAGAGTTTATACACACGCATGTCACACATAGTCTACACATTGCAACTTATAGCTCACCAGACTGAATAAATGTGTCCCAAGTGAATTAATGTAATATAAAAATAGTAAGATGCTGAAGAAAGCGTAATCATAAATTTTAGGGCACCCCTCTTATCCAATAGTAGAGGGAAAAAAACACAAGGAGTAAGTAGATAAGAATAAAAGCTACCAAATTTCATAACATATAATAAAACAAAATATTAAAAATATATATATCAAAGGGTAAAAGAGGAAAGGGAAAATTCTACCTCAGTGATCGCTGGGTATGATCCCTCCTGAACCCTTCCTCTATCCCTGTGTGCACTTTCTACTCATTTGTTTAAATTTGCTAAGGAACAGTTGGCATTGTGGCGAGCGTCTTCGGAAAGAACGTGTTTGTGTTTGCACCATTAATCATAGGGCCTCCTGAAAGGTTCGCCGCGAGCATTAACGAGAGTTGAAGATGATTCACAACCTGACCCCGCATCTCGTTGCCCTCCGTACCGCTGATATTGCCGCTAGTTTCGGGATCTCTCCAGTCGGGAATGCGTTGATTTCTCTTCTCAAGCCCCATAAGCAGCACCATATTAACCTTGACCTGCCGCATCAACCCTTCCTCAGAGACGCCGACCTCATTCAGGGTATAAGGGCCCTCGATTCGCATAATAAACCCTTTCCCATGCAGCACCTCGGACTTCTTTAGCTTGGCATCTCCAAGAAAATGATCGCACAACGAGTTTGGCGTAACGTAAATATTTTGTCAATGGTATTAAATTCTCATCGAGGCATCTCCCTGAAATACGTCGAGCGATGACGAAAATGTTATTCACGCTCACATCGACGATTCAAAGCTGTGGGGGAACGCAGCAGAACTACAGTCCCGACGGCGAAATTAAAAATAACGAATAAAACGGTCTGGTAAAAAAAAGCGGCGTGACAGCCACGCTGAAACTCGCTCAGATTCCAGTCCTCCCGCTCACGAAGCGGTGGGAATACGTTGAGGTAAAGCTAAAAAAGATACGTCTAAAGGAGGCTTAAAGGCTTGGGGTTAGCTTGTGGGGTCGATCGAAGTGCTCTCGAAAGGGGTTTTAAAAGACAACGGCGGCAGATGTACTGATGGAAAAAACGCCGCGTCGTGCGCGTTCTGACTCCTACGTCCAAATTACGCGTTGGAGTCGTCACTATCGTCATTGCATGAGCAATAATCACTGAGGAAATTAAAAAGCCACTGCTGTGGTGATGGTGAGGATACCTAGTGCGCGTAGAACCCGCACGCATTGCCCCATCTCGAGGGTCGTCCTTTTAACTTTCCGTAGGAAATAGCAGGCATAAGGCCGAGGCTGATATCCTTCTGGCTTAGGTGGTAGGTCAGCCCATGTCAGGTTTAGATACCGTTATCACGGGCATTTCACTCGATATCATTCTTCTCATTGAACCATGGGTATTCAGCCTTTTGAGGCAGGGTGTATTCCTGTGTAAATAACACAGGCACTAGACTATCGCGTTTACTCTTCCTAACATAAGCATTATAGTTCCAAGAAAGCATACATAAAGAGCTAAAGTTGCTTTCCAAGAAAGACGAAGAAGCTTTTGAGTTCATGGCTAAAAAGGATATAGATAAAATACGCAACAATAATAACTAAAATAATAAGTGCAATAGTTTCAAATAATTTTGATGTCTATAGAAAGAAAAGGATATATGAAAAGGCGTTCTTTAGAACTTATCAAACAATATAATAATTATAAATTGGAGCAATCTTATAATTTTTGGAGAGCGGTCAGGGAAGAACAATAATGAAATGGATAGTGTAGCAAAAAAAATGGAGTCATAAATAAAGAAAAAGTTAAATGGTTAGTTGATTTTTCTACCATATGTAGGAGTCCTTGTCAACATTCCATGAGTGCATAACGGTGAACCTCTCTTTTTCTCTTTCGATCCGAAATCAGATGATGTTTCGATGCCTCCTCAACTTATCCCTTAACCTTATCCCTCCTGCAGAATAAGAAGCCACACACATTTTATAAATATATATATATATATATATATATGTTTATATATATATATATATATATATCAGAAGAGTTTCCTTATTTCTTACTCCAAACGCACGCCCTCACATTATTGGTACCCTTCTTGTTTATAATAATCAAGAAGAAAAAGAAAATAGAATCAATACTTCAGTGTTGGTTGGTTGACTTATTGTATTCCTCTACCCCTCATGACCATCTTCATTAAAAAGGATATCCATTATCGCGTCTTTCGACTCAAAACTACCCCTGCCGTGGCCGCTATGCACACTATGTTAAGCATAACGATCACCCACAAGGGCGGTGTGTTAGATATCGCATCACCCGACGACACAGTAATTTTCTTGCCACCAACCGTGTTCTCACTCCCCTTCCTAAGATTGTTTTTACCTGAGCTCCCTGCGTGCTCGATGGCCGTTGTGGCGGAGACAACGTTAGAAGTCTTTGCGGCAGCGTGGCTTCTGCTCCCTCCCCCGCTATCACTCCCCTCATTCCTCTCCGCCTCTCCGTCGTCGTCTTCGCTCCGAACCTCCCTGATGACTACCCTAGAAACTACTGGAAGTTCATACCACAACTTCGGATCACCGTAGAGGATGATGGGATGGGGTTTCTGCCCCAGCTCTAACGCAGAGGTTTTAATTAAAAAGGTCGACGGGGTTTTGTGTAAGTCCGTGATCTCGATCTGGTAATTCTCCAGCGGCTCGAAGATGGCCTCGAAGGCGTCGTACATGGGAGCGAGGTTCAGCCGCTTGCTCATGGCCGTCAGGATCGGCATCTTCTGGAGCGGCTCCAGCTCCTCCACAGCGAGCACCACCTCCGTGATGTTCTTCACGACGTCGTCCTCGTAGATCGCCTCCGCCCGGGAGTTAGGAGTCTCCTCTGGGCATAACTTCCGCACCTCACCCTGGTAATCCTTACACGCGATGTGGGCGTAAGGGACCGCAAATCGCTTCCACACAGGGCCGTAGCCAATGATGAGGGCATAGGCCGAGCTCAGCTCGCGAAGAACGAGGGCGAGGTCGTAATGGAATTCCATCAAATCCCCCGGGGTGACATCGTGCAGGTGTCGTGGGCGGTAGTTCGTGACGAGCGGCGCCACGGTAAACTGCGCGATCGCCGTGTGCGGTTGCCCCACCTTGCCAAAGCGCTGGTCCACTTTGATGTGGGGAAGGGAGGTGCGACAGCGCTCGCGTAACGGGGCCATAAAGGGCGAGACGCTGTGTAACAGGGCGCCGGCGAAGGCCTCAAAGGCGTTCTTCTGGGCCTGCTCCCGGCGCTGTTGGGCCTTTGTCGGCTTCTTCCAGCGCCGATTGCCGTTGATCGTGAGCGGGGGCAGCGGGCGCCCATCGGACGGGGTGAACTTCTTCACTTTCTTCTCCCCTGGGTCGGCGCTCGAGGGGTCTTTGGGGTTCCCCCCCTCTTCTCCCCCTCCTCCCCCTTCCTCGGCCGGGGAGGGGTGAAGTTGCTCCTCAATCATCTTAAAGGTGAGGTCCATC